GATTAGAATTATCAACGAACCCACGGCTGCGGCTTTGGCTTATGGCTTAGACAAGTCAGAAAGAGAACAGACTATCTTGGTTTATGATTTAGGGGGGGGGAACTTTTGATGTTTCCATTCTCCAAATTTCCAAGAGTAGTGAAGGAGATTTTTTTGAAACCATTGCGACGGCTGGTATTCGAGATTTAGGCGGGGATGATTTCGACCAAAAAATAGTTGATTACGTGGTTCAGGAAGTGAAAAAGGAACGAAAAATTGATTTGTTGTTCGAAGGGGAAACTGAAAATGATAGAAAAATAATTAAACAACGATTACGAGAAGAAGCTGAAAAAGCCAAAAAAACGTTGTCAAGCAGTTTAGAAGCCACGATTTCTCTTCCTTATCTTATTCCTCCAACGGGAGGGAGATCACCCCACGTGGAAGTGAAAATCACTCGAGCCAAATTTAAAGCCTTAACCAAAGATTATATGGAAAGGACTATGAAAGAAGTAGACCAAGTCATTCAAGCAGCCGAAAAGAAATCGGGGCGAAGTTTGACGATTGACCAAATAATTTTGGTGGGCGGCTCAACTCGCATGTCAATGGTAGAACCATTGCTCGAAACAAAGTTCGGCAAGAAAAAAATTAATAAATCCGTCAACCCGGACGAGGTGGTGGCGATTGGAGCTGCTATTCAGGGTGCCGTGCTGGCTGGTGATTTTGGTCGTGATATTGTGCTTTCAGATGTGGCGCCCCTTGCTTTAGGTATTGAAGTTCAGGGGTCTCTTGGAGGAGAATCAATTAACGATATAATAATCCCCCGCAACACCACTATTCCTACTTCCAAAACTAAAATTTACTCCACGGCTGAGGATAACCAACCGAGCGTTCATATTCGCGTTCTCCAAGGAGAAAGACCTCGCGCTTCCGATAATAAAATAGTCGGAACTTTTGAATTAAGTGGTATTGCGCCAAAGCCAAGGGGCGTGCCCCAAATTGAAGTTGCTTTCAATATTGACGTTAATGGAGTAGTTAACGTGACCGCGCAGGATAAAGCAACTAATAAGAAAGCCGAAGTTACTATTCGGGACAGCCAAAATTTAAGTCAAACGGAAATTGACAAAATGATTAAAGAGGCCGAAGAAAATCGGGTCAAAGATGAGGAATGAAAAGCCAATGTTGAATTGCTTAACAAAGGGGAAACTTATTGTCGCACTTTCGAAGAAAGAATTGAAGAATTTAAAAAGCATAAGGATTTCAATGAGAATGATGAAGGCTTCAAAAGATTGGTGGAATTGTATCAAGAATTAAAAGAAGCTGTAGACAAAAAAGATTATCCGGTTATTAAAAAACAATTGAATAAAGTCGAAGAAATGATGAAATTAGCCAGCGAATTAGCCAGCAAAATGCCTTCCGAAGAAAAAAAAGAGGACGAAGGCTATGTTTCGGGTTCGGAAGAAGATACTATGGATGTATCGCCCGAAAAGGATGACAAAGACAAAAAATAGTAAAACTAGTTTAATTCTAGTTCTTTCATGACCAAGAAAAATTATTATGAAGTTCTCGGAGTGTCTGAAGGTGCTTCCGAGGCGGAGATAAAATCTGCTTATCGCAAGTTGACGCTGAAATGACACCCCGACCGCTGAGCCAGTAAATCAGAAGTGGAAAAAAAACAAGCCGAGGCCAAAATGAAAGAAATTAATGAGGCTTATGGAGTTCTAAGTAATCCCGAAAAACGGCAAAATTACGATCGATACGGCAGCGCGGAAGGTTTTCAAGGACCACCAGAAGGTGGTTTTGACCGTAGCGGAGATTTTTTTAAGGACATCTTTAACACTTTTTTTGGTGGGACCGATTACTCTCGCTCTCGTGGAACCCGACCTCAGGACGGAAGTGACATTTTAACGAGCATTACCTTGACTTTCAAAGAATCGGTGCTAGGAGTGAAAAAAAAAGTGTCTTTAAAAGTAGAAAGGGCCTGTGATGCTTGTAAACAAACAGGGGCGGCTTCGTCCAGTGATATTAAAAAATGTCCGAAATGTCAAGGGAGGGGAATAGTTAATACTATCCAGAGAACAATTTTAGGGACTATTCGCGCCCAAGATACTTGTGATCGTTGTGAAGGAGAAGGGAAAGTGGTAGAAAAAAAATGCTGAAAATGTGGAGGTAAAAAAAATTTGACTAAGGTAGAAATCATTGAACTTAATATTCCCCGCGGCATTCAGCCAGACAAAACACTCCTTTATCAGGGCATTGGTAATGACGGATGATATGGCGGTACTCGTGGGGATGTTCGGGTCGCAGTCAAGGTCAAAGAAAACCCTTATTTTAAACGCAAGGGCAATAACATTTATGTGGATTTGCCGATTTCCTTTTTGGACGCCATTTTGGGAGGTACAGTCGAAGTAATTACTCTGGAAACTTATCAGTTAGGAGGAGCGCTAAAAGATTTAGCCAAAATCACGGTCCCGGCCGGCAGCCAACACGGTGATTATGTAGTTCTGCCAGGACAGGGCTGCTATGTAGGAATGAATAATCCTAAACGGGGAGATTTTTATGTACGTTTACTAATCAAATTACCTAAAAAAATTACTCTTGCTGCCGAAGGAAGGTTGCGTAATATCCAGCGAGAAACTAACTGAAATCCTACTCACGATTTTCTGGAAAAAAATAAGGATGTTATTGATAATTAGTTGTTGTTAAAAATAATATAATTATGGGAAAATTAAATGTTTATACTAAACTCCAACTCATCCAAGCAGAAATCAAAGAACTAATTCGCACTGAAGAAAATAAATTTCAAAAATATAAATTTTTCAACGAATTACAAGTGCTTAAATTACTGAGACCTCTCTTAGAAAAGTATAAATTAACCCTTCTGTTAAGCGATGATACCAGTCAACCCTTAATTCACGAAAAAGAGGGTAAGGAGCATTTTATTAAATATCTAAAAAAATTAGAAGTGGTGGATGCAGAAAATCCCGAACAGCGTTTATTATTTAACTTTTGAGCAGTGGGCAGCAATGTGGATTTAGCCAAAGCCAAAGGCTCTAGTGAAACCTATGCTACTAAATATTTGTTAAGTAAATTTTTTTTGATGCCGGTGAAGGACGAGGCCGACCCTGATTATAGGCAAGGAGAAGCAAAAGACGGAATGAATCCTGAAGAAAGGAAAGCCGTCAATGATTTTCTCCAAAAACATGGTTGGAACGAAGAAGAAAAAACGAAAGTAAAAAATAAGTAATGACTTATCAACTAAAAAGAATCAAAAAAATAATTGAGGGCATTAAGCATACAGAACGTTTTCAACAGGCCTTTCGACATACCTCTTACCTTAATGAGTTAAAGTTAATGAGAAAAAATAATGCCGAACTGGATTGAGAAAACGATGACCAGCCTCTTTCCTCTTACGAGACTTTGGAATTTTTGGGAGACAGCGTGTTGAGTTTTTACGCTAGCCTTTTTATCTATCAGCAATTTCCCAATTATGCAGAAGGACAAATGAGTAAATTGAAGCAATTGATGGTTCAAGAGAGTACTTTAGCCCATTTAAGCCGAGAAATCGGGTTAGGAAAATATTTGCAACTGGGAACAGGAGAAAGAAAAAACCAGGGATCTGATAAAGAGAGTATATTGGCGGACGTTTTTGAATCTTTTACAGCGGCTCTGTATTTGGAAAAGGGGGGTAAAACCGTCCAGCGTTTCCTCAATTTAACCATTTTTGCTTGGGTTGTTGGCAAAGAAAATATGATTTGGGATTACAAAAGCCAATTACAGGAATATTGCCAGGCTCGGAAAAATAGAGTTATCTATCGTCTAAAGAGAGTATTGAGAGTTGGAAATCAACAATTATTTGTTATGGAGGTCAGCGACGAACAGGGAACTTTTCGGGAAAGTGGGCAGGGTCGGAACAAAAAAGAAGCCGAACAACAAGCCGCTGCTAAAGTGATTGAGAAGTTGGGGATTGGGGAAAAAGAGAATTAGAATTATATATAAAGTGAACTACCCACCACTTATAGAAGTGGGGGCTTCTCGGTTCCTAGACAAGGCTATCACCTAGTCTCCCCGAAGGCTCAAACCGAGCCATTCTTGCCAACTAGCAAGTGTTCGTGAGAACTTTATCTCCATTTATCTCATGGAGTTATTTCATCCTTTGTTTATACTTTTAAGTATATGTTATATTTTAGCAATTCATCCCACCACCTAAAAGAGGATGGGGGACTTCTTGCTAACTTGGGTTAAATTATTACAACAAACGCCACTTCGGATTGGTTGCTTCATCAAAATATTATTAATATATATATCTTATTCGGAATGTCTCCTGTTACTGTATTTACTAAATCGGTTCTCAAAACAAAAAAACAAAGCAAAGTAAAATTACTCTTTCTAGTGCTGGGGAGGATTATCAAAAATAATCCATTCCTCTTTTTTTTCTGTTCCTTATTAGCCGTAATCACGGCTTTGGTTAATTTCAATATTGGAGTTAATCTAAAGAATGCTCTTTTAAGCCGCGAAAAAACTCTGAGCGAAAAAGTCATTAAAGCAGTAGAAAAGGAAGGCGGGGAAGAAAAAAAAGAAATTACGAAAGAAAGAGTAAGAGAAATATTAAATAGCGAGGCTGACGAAACTAACCGACAACAAAAAGAAGCCAAAGAAAATATTGCTGGGGAAATGAAAGGAGAGGGTTCTTTGTCGAAAGAAAAAGTCAAAGAAATAATTGAAAAGGCCAGTGTCGGCGGTCGGCAGGTGTTTAATCATGATTTCGAATTTTCATTCAATTTTTTTGGTTGGCATTGATTTAAAAGCGACACCTTATCTATTTGATGATTTATTACTTATTCGCTAATCCTCATTTTAGTGGTGAAATCACTCTTTTCCCTTACTCATTACTATTGAATGAGTTATGCCTATGACAGCATTGAAAAAGACTTAAAAAAAGACTTATTTCGACAACTTGTGCGGGCTAAGTACACCAATTCAGCAGAAATTTCTCGCAATTTAATTACCCAATTTGCTGATGATTTAGACGAAATTGCTTATAGTATTTGATTCATTCCTAACCGTTTGATTTATGTGACTTTTTCGATAATTTTCTTGCTGAGTTTTGATTTTAATTTTGGTGGGCCAGGTACTACTTTGCCGCTTTTAGCCATTGTGGCCGGTTTATTTGCTATTCTTATTATCGTGGAAATTTTACTTTTCAAAAGGGCTAGCAAATTAAATATGGCAGCAAAAAGGCGCCAAGAAGAAGATAATAAAATTATTTTCGAGCGCATTAATAATTTGGAATATATTAAAGCGGTTTCAGGAGAAAAATACGAAGAAGGAAAAATCGACCGACAGTTAGATTCCACCTTCCACAAGAATAGAAAAGCGCTTTGGTTTAGCACCTTATTTAAAGCTGCTCCCCAATACATTATTATTCCGAATATTCCCACTTTTTTCATAGCCTTGACCCTGCTTTTTTACTCGTCAAATCCCAAAATGGGAACTGTTTTCCTAATAGGCAATTTTTCTCGCTACTTTTTTTCGGTCCGCAATTTAAACAGTGAAGTCAACAAAGTAATTGATGCTTTATTAACTTTAGATGAACTTTCTAGCAGTCTGACCATTGTTAATGAGGGTGCTAAAACATTAAATCAGCCAACTACTCTTGCTGAATCAAAAACTCCTCTGCCAACTTTGCCCTTCAAAAATGGTGACCTAGTGTTCCAAAATGTTGTTTTTGCTTATCCTAAACGACCTCAGCAAGAAATTTTGCGGAATTTCACTTTCACTTTTCAACAAGGGAAAATCTACGGCATTGCTGGCAAAAATGGTATCGGCAAAAGCACCATTACCAAAACCACGCTTAAACTTTATGACTTAAAAGCCGGACAAATCTTAATTGGAGAACGTAATGTGCGAGAAATTGACACTATTAGCCTCCACCGCCACATTTGCTACCAAACTAATCGCCCTACTTTTTTCCGCATGAGTATTGCCGAAAATGTTTGCTATCCGCAAACATATAATAAAAAAGACCAAGAAAAGTTGGTTCAAGCAGCCCAAAAAACCGGTATTTACGAGTTTATTGCCAAACTACCACAAAGATTTGATACTGTATTAAGAGAAGGGGGTGCGGATCTTTCGGAAGGGCAAAAACAGCAAATTTCAGCGATGAAAATGTTTATTAATGATTACGAAATTTACATTTTGGATGAGATATTAAGCAATGTTCACCCTAATTTAAAAGGCGTCATTTTAGAAAATATTTTTTCTAAACTAAAAGGCAAGACAATTCTAGTAATTGATCACCACTACGAAATATTTCAATATGTTGATTATATTTATCAGTTCACTGGTGAGAAATTAATTCGCATGAATAAGGAAGAGTTTTTGGCGTAATAAACATAATGAAAGTATAAAGTGTTAAATATAATATATATGCATAGAGAGAGAGAGAGAGAGAGAGAGCAAAACCACAATTTTGCCTTGTCCTCCCTTTCAATAATTATTAATAAATAAAATCCCATGCCAACAGAATACGAAAATCCCCACTTTTTAGAAGAGTGGTTAAAAAATAAGACTGAACATCATCAGGAAGA